GTGTAACTTCCTCAGATCTTTCTGCAAAGTTTTTCAACTGAATCTAAATCAGATTTTAATATTAAATCAATCAAGAAAAGCTAAATTATTCTATCATAACAAATACTCAAAAGTTTTAGCGGCTCATAACAATAGATTTATTTCTTGCATATGTTGTATGTCTACTTGGTTCTGAGATAATAAGAGGTTCTACTCTATTTCCTTACTCAAGACTCAGACTAAGGAGCTTCTACTATTATTGCTGTTGTGTACTACGGAGTCGGAACCGACCCACAGCTGACCCTCCAGCAGGTTTTCAGAGGCAGTTAATCGCACAGGAGGGGCCTGCCCATATTTCTCCTGTGGAGCAGCTGGTGGATTTGAACCACATGCATTTGGGATTGCAGAGCAGTGTTAAGAGGAAGAACACAGAGGACTTTGCACACTACTTCTTAAATGTCTCAGTTCAGATAGAACACATGTGACTTCTGCTCACACTTCATTATCCACATCTAACTTCAGTAGAGCTGGAAAGGGTACTACTAGAAGGAGACTTGAAATCTTGAGGGACAGCATTAACTATAGTAACTACCACATCTATATATTGAGTCCTGAATTTCCATGACTCTTCTTTCTAGAAATGGCTTTACTTTTTTTGATATTTATTTTTATTCTCATGTTTTTTTCTTCTGTCTTTTACGTCCCTAATTGCTTTAAAGTATATCTTTTAAAATCATCAGATTATTCTCTGAGGTTCTGAGAGATAAAACTTCATTTGTTTATTTTATTTATTTTTCATTTCAATGAACATCTACAGAGATTTTGGAATTCCATTCATTCATTGTGAGATAAAAATCTTTATTGAAGGTTGTATGTAGTCTTTGATTTTATGCAGCAAGCATTTGAAGTAATCTTCGCTTAGACAAGCAAGATTGTGTTATCTGCATAATGTATGTTGTTGAAGAGGCTTCTTCCAAACCTGATGCAATGGCTCTTCTTCATAAAATCCAACCTTTCAAATTATTTTATCAGTACATAGCTTGAATAGGTATGGTGAAAGGATACAGCTCTGATGAATGCTTTTCTTGGTTTTAAACCATTCAGTGTTCCCTTGTTCTGTTCCTACAATAGTTTCTTGGTCTAAGTATAGGTTTCACATGAGTATAATTCAGTGTTCATTCTTCTCAATGTTAACAATGATTTGTTATGTTCCACATTGTCATACGCTTTTGCATAGTCAATAAAACACATATAGACATCAAAAAAACAAACAAACCTCATTTGTTGTAGATTATTTCCTTGTGTATTTTATAATTTTGTATTTTGAACTCATCTTTAGTGAGGCTTTATTCAGAAGAATCACTCCTGGGTGGAGTATGTGTCGTTCCAGACTAACTTGCTGTTTGTTTCAGTGTTCCTAAGGGTACTCTGCTCTTTTCAGACTCTTTACACATTGCATCATCATTTTTATCATTTTGGCTATGTACTTTTCCTAGGAGGAAGAAGAAAGTATTTTTTTCCTAGTAGAGGCCAGGGTGAAACAGACTTCTCTATTTGCTGATGGAAGAATGCTTTTATCCTTGTCCAGTTCTCTGTAAGGATGTAATCCTGGAAAGTCTTCATTTTCTATGGACATTTCTGCCATGAGAGGCTCAAGCCTCATTTCAACTTGCATCGAAGTAAAAAAAAAAGTCAGCCCCTGGATAATGGAGGCTGGGTTTTCGCCCCCCAGGAAGCTGCAGGATCAGCTTGGTTTCAGTTCTCTTTCCCCCCCTTGTATCTAAGGATGTCAATGTATTTTCTTGTGGATTCAGCTATTCCTCTCAACTAATGTTGGCTCTATCCAATCTAGCATTTCTGAACACTTGTACTGGAAAGATTTGCAAGTTTTCCAGTCAGCTAAAATAACAGAACCAGAAAATATTCTAGATCTATGAAGAATTCAGAAATAAGTGGACAAAAGTCATAATCTAATAATTTACAAAAGTAAAAATACAAGTATCTGATAACCCTTAGGAAAAGAAAGAAATGCACAGTAAACCATAAAACAAATATATCAATTTGGTTTACCAAAATCATAAACATTTTAAAAAATTAAGCAGGAAAGATGTTCTAAATTTACACAATGAATTGAAGATTACTATCATCTATTAAATGCAAGTATTAACAGAATTTACTTTTTTGAAAATATTTTAAGAGCCTTATAAATATTTTACCTCATAGCAACAAAAGAACTTTCTTCCCCCCAAAAAAGTTAATTGGGTGGAGGGGCAGGGAGGAAAATGTGCAACAATGAATAAATGGAAATCCAAGTTATTTATAAACTTTCATTAAAATCATAATTAAAAAAGTATTACTTCTTAAAAAAATTTAGGAAGTATTTTCCCTTAAGCTACTACTTATAGTTTGAGAAGTCTACCTTAATAATAAAAAAGAAAGTCATATTTTATAGTCAGAAAACAAAAGAATGTTACTTAAATATCACTTTTTCTAAATCAGAGTTATTATCTTTTGCTGTGATTATTCTAAGCAATATAAAGAGGTAAAGGCTTTCAGGCACATTATGAAGACTAAAAAAGCAAATACTTTTAGCAAATTTTTAAGGACATACATGCTAGGTGAGGGCTAACCCCTCTGCTGAGGAATAGCTTGGAAAAAATATCAAGAGTGGAACAAATGTCCAAAAGGGTCTTATTTATCATTCAAGACTCAACTAAAGCCCCTTATTATAGGCATTGCGTCATCCCCAAATTTCATATGGGGAACAGTGTGCTCCCCAAAGAAGTTGGCTCCGTTCTGTCACAGGACCAGTTACACTGTCTCACCCTTCCCAGAGGGTGGGGATTTCTTTGGGTCAGGGACTAGGTGGCCCTTCCCTCTAAAGCTTAGTGTCATGTGTAATACATCAAAGGTACTCAGTTAACGTCTGGAGAACGAATGAATGAAACATATGTATAATTGTGGGTAAGGTGGTTGGTTCATAGGAGACCTTCCAACTTGCAGGATAATAATGCAAAACTTCACATCTTAAAATTTCTTTGGCAGCAATTTCCTCAACTCCTGTGTTTTTGTCCTGACATTGAAAAAAAAATCGTCTATTAGAGACCCAACTATATCTGGGTCAAGAGACTCGCTGCCAAGACCCATTGCAGACAGCCTGGAACATGTGCACACTGCCTTTGGACCCTGGAAAGCATCATTGATATTCCTCAGGAATCTTATGAAACCTCCTGTTTATAAAGGTTTCTCCATCTGTTATATTTTCTGTACTTTCCCTCCTTCAGCTTTTGGTAACACGGATGTTTGCATTCCACAGGGATTCCTGTCACTAAAAGGTCTGTTTCTCTTGCTAGTCACCCTCCTTAGCCAGAACTAAAAGCCTGGCAGCTCCCAGGGAGAAATCCTGGTGTAATGTAATATCATCTCCCTTCCGGACTTCTGTAAGAGCCTCCTCTAATTTATAACCTTCCCAAAATAATATCTGATCATATTATGTAAAACTCACCATTAACTTCCCATTACTCTCCATTGCCTAGCAGACAAAGCTGTTGTGGTTTGGCATGAGGCCCGGCACTGGCCTACCAAGTCTTACCTGCAACCTTCCACCATCATAATCCAGCACTGAAATCAGATCAAAGTGTTTCCTGTTGTTCTCTCCTCCCACCTCCACACCTTTGTATATGCTATCTCCTCAAACTGTGGTATTATTTCCTTCTCTTGCCTGATACTACTACTATTATTTTAAAAAGCTATCCAGATGCCATTGCTCTGTGAATCTTATCTTCATTCCCTGATTCTCTGAAGTAGAATTAGGTAGCCTCTGCAACCATCACAATCTGTATAGAACTTTCTCTATAATATTTGTCTTACTCTCCAGTTACTATTTCTCTCAGCATTATCTCCTCTATCCAGGCACTTTCTCTACCCACACTTCCCAGAGTTCATCTTTCATCAGGACTGCTGGGTTCCTATTTCTCTAGCCTTGCCCTAGTAATATAATTGCCTTACTGCAGTTAGAGAGAATCTCCTTAAACTGCATATATGCTACATGCCTGGATTAAAATCTTTGGTTGAATCCCTAATGCCTTCCAATGTAAATTTCAAATTCCTTGCCATATGCTGTATTAAAGGTACCCAAACCACAGTCAACACTCTTGGCACCAGTAGCCAACAAATCGAAAAACGTATTGTGATGGGGAAAGTCTGCTGTTAGGGACCTCTCCAAAGTACTGAAGAGCAATGGTATCACTCTGGAGACTAAGGTGCATCTGATACAGGCCATGGTCTTTGCTATCACTTGTTATGCATCAGAAAGATGGACAATGATTAGGAAGGACAGAAGGAGAATTGATGCCTTTGAGCTGTGGTGCTGGAGAAAAGTACTGAGTTGTACCATGGACTGCCAAGAATACAAACAGATTTATCCTGGAGAGGATGAAGCCAGGCTGCTCCTTGGAGACAAGGATTCTGGGGCTTCATCTGACATACTTTGGACACGTTGTAAAGAGGGACAGGTCTTTAGAGAAAGAGAGCATGGTTGGGAGAGTGGAGGGACGGCGCAAGAGGGAAAGACCCTCTATGAGGTGGATTGATTCAGTGACTGGGGTAATGGGGATGGGTGTGTCAGAGGCAGTGGGATTGGCACAGGATAGAGCAGGGTTTAGGGCTGTTGTACATATGGTCACTATGAGTCGCAAGTGACTCGACAGCACATATCAACAACAAAACACAAAGACTTGTCATTCTCCTGGTAACTGTCACTCATACAGAGCTCCAGCAGCTTGTGGGCTCTGCATCAATGGCTGGGCATTGAGGCTAACTGTGCTGGGACTAAGGAGGTCACTTGGGCTCATTCATGCCTCTGTTTCCAGTCTCCCAGGTTCACCAGAGAAATGTCTGATCTTGTGGGCAGGATTTGGGCAGAAGCAATATGTCTTGCTTTCAAGATGCCTTAAATAGGTTAGGGGGTGCCATCATAGGGTCCTGGAGGGCCAAGATGGGGCTAGAGCCCAGTTCCTTACCAGATGGACCACAACTCCGGCTTGAATTCTGATTTGCAAGCTTTTTAAACTCCATGAGCTCTGCATGATCTTTCTCATAAGTCCTCTTCAGGTTCTCCACATACTGCATCATCACTTCTGTTGCTTTGGACATGCGCTTTTCCTGCAGGGAAGTTAGTGTTAGTGTCCAGGGAAGTTGGATAAATGGCTCCATGGGGACTTGTTTGCTCTGAATGAAGCTCTGGCTAGAGTAACTGGAAAGGTAGATAACTCAAAGAGTTCATTGTACACAATGAACTGAGAAAGAGGCTCAGCCACTTGCTCTCAAGGTTAACACAGCACAAGCACAATGTCATAGAAGATGACCAATAGAAGAGAGATTAATTTATGCCTGCAGAAGAGAACAGGTCAGGGGAGGCTTCATGGAATGAAATGAACACAGAGAATGAGTAGCATGAAACAGGGATGAAAAGCATCCTTGCCAGGGAACTGTATGAACAAGGGTTCAGAAGCAGGAAAGAGTAGGGCTTGTACATAAGAGAGAATTTACTCTCCAAACAAGAGTCTTTGGAAAGTACAGGGGTGCTACTAAAAAATGATGTTGGACGATAGCCATTTACCAGGATTGTCCAGATAAATCATGACAGCACAGGCATTTACTTCTGTAGGAATAAGCAAGCAATTGGGCTTGTTCATTAATGGAAAAGATGAGTGAAGGCTGGGTTTTGAAGAACCCAGGATGCTGGAGTAAGGAAACTGGACTTACTCTGAAGGAAAGGGGAAGTCATTGAATATCCTAGAGTAGGAGAGTGACTTAATTAGGTCAGCAGTGGAAATTAGACTGTAGAGAATGAAACCTGGAGTAGCAAGACTGACAAGCTTTTGTAAAACCACAGAGAAAGGATAGTCCTGAAAGGCACAGAAGCTAGGACTGGGAATGGCACTTAGAACACAGGAACATAGAGAAGATTGGTATGAACCATACATGGACCAAGAAACATGTTTGAGGAGAGTGCTTCTTTGCTTCTATTGCCTTGGATTCCTCAGAACATGTTTAGTGACCGTTCCCTGGAAGAGGTCCCCTGCAGCTGTGAGGCAGTCACTTCCCTAGAATCCACCCTATGTTGCTACTTCCAGCTAGAGTGACTCCCTGGGCACTACTGCTGAGTCAGAGGCCCTTTCTCCAGAAAAGCACAGGGGAGGGACACAGTAGCCATTTGTCCTCCTTTTATTCCATGGCAACTGCTTGGTGATACTTCTCAGGAATACCAAAATCATGCAATTCAATGCACCAGGACATGGGACCATGGTAATAGAAGAGTTATAATCACCTAGTGCGTCAGAGATGAATCTTGTCCCTGTACCTTTTCAATCTGTATGCAGGACAGATCATTCGGGAAGCAGGACTTTAGGAGGGGGCATGTAGCATCAAGACTGGAGGGAGATTCATTAACAACCTATGATATGCAGATGACACAACCTTGCTTGCTGGGACCGAAGAAGACCTGAAGCACTTGCTGCAAAATGTCAAATACTGTAGTCTTCAATATGGATTGAAGCTCAAAATCAAGAAGACAAAGATTCTCATCACTGGGCCAATTGGCAGCACCATAATAGAAGGAGAAGAGATTGAGTATGCTAGCAATCACAGCTTGCTCGGATTCACAATCAACACTCTTAACACCAGCAGTCAGGAAATCAAAAGATAAATTGTATTGGGAAAATCTGATGTTAAGGACCTCTCCAGAGTGCTGAAGAGCAATGATGTCAGTCTAGACACAAAGGTGCACCTAATACAAGTCATGGTTTTTCAATTACTTGTTATGCTTCAGAAAGTTGGACAATGACTAAGGATGACAGAAGAAGAATTGAAGTTTTTGAGTTGTGGTATTGAAGAAGAGTTGAACATACCTTGGAATGCCAAGAAAACAAATAGGTCTGTCTTGGAGAGGGTGAAACCAAGTCTGTCCTTGGAGGCTAAGATCTTGAAGCTCTGCCTCACTTACTTTGGGCACGTGGCCAGGAGAGATTGGTCCTTGGAGGAGGACATCATGCTTGGAAGGGTGGGCGGACAATGCAGGAGAGGGAGATGCTGGATGAGATGGATTAATACAGTAACTGGGGCAATGGGGGTTGGTGTGTCAGAATTAATGAGACTGGCTCAGAAGAGGGAAGGATTCAGAGCTGCTGTACATAGGGTTGCTATGCATTGCAGGCAACTCAAACAATAATATTCTATGACAGGTTTGGAAGCAGGCGTGGCATCCACTTCCTAAACAACTTACCTCCGGAAACTCCATGAACTTTGATAAATATCAATAGTTGTAGAGGGGCTTCAGGCCTTTAGTTCATAAGGTTGCTATGAGTCGTGCTTGACTCAAAGGCAAGCAATAACAACAACAGTGGCAAGAAGCTGTGTTGCAATCCCAAAAACACATAGTTTGAGGCCACCAGCTGCTTTGCAGAAGAATGGGCAATTAAGTGGCTCTGTAAACATGCTAGAGGATCAGCTATGGGTCAGTTCCAACTCTGTGGTACACAACAACAATCACATCTAAACACTTTGCACTGGCCCTTGATAGCAGATTCTGTCATCATTCCCAATATATTGTTGAAGAAGCTTAAGCTCAGAGAAGGAAAGTAACTTATCTGAGGTCACACAGGAGGAAGTGGGTGGTGGAACAAGAATTAGAACTCAGATATCACTATGCCAACCTAGAGGGGTGAACACTCTTACGCTGTAGGACTTTAAAACAGCTAAGGGTAGGCAGACCTGGATCTGCACCCTAGTTCTACCACACACTAATGGATTAACTTTCTGAGACTCAGTTTATCCATCGGGGGAAAAGGGTATCTATTTTACACAGCTGCTAGCAGGATTAAATGAAACAAAGTTGAAGATGGCTTTTTCTAAATTAAGTTTGATCAAATACTAGCTCCATGAGAAGTGGATATGTACTTTGCAGGGAAAGAAAGAGGGAATCATATAGTCAAATACATTTAGAAAGACACAGGTAAGCTTAAACAGGTCTCTTTACTACAGGACTTCTTAAAGCCTAGATTATTCAAGTGTGTGTTATAAATATCCAAGAAAGGAAGATAGTATGAAGTAATTCCCAAATGTATGTGTTCATAACAACAATCCAATTTCTAATTTTCCAACATTCAAGCCACGAACATTCCATGTACCAATTGTTAAAACAATGTTTGTTATTGATTTTCATTTCAACTAACTTTCAATCTGGGCTCTACCACTACACTACTAACTATCCTCTTTGTTTAATGTTCATAGGGTTTTCAAAAGCCTTTTATTTAGGAAGGAGATTGCCCATCCTGCTTCCTAGTCTGTCTTAACCAGGGAGCTCCCCCAAAACTCAACCAGGATGGGAAACCCTTTTGGAATTTGACTCATCAATGACAAAGATTTCAGTTTCACAGCAACCCCAAGTAATCGCAGTAGAGCAAACTGATAGACAAGTGCTGCACCACTTATAACAATGTTCTTTCTGAACATGACCAACAGCAGTTACACTTGATTGCTCACACAATTTAGAAATGTCCAAACAGTTCACCTCAGTTTTTAAGTAAATCACAGAACACTTACCCACCAGGATCTAACTTCACCAAGCTGAAGACTCACAGGCAGGACTAGACTGAATTTTAAATACCAAGGCCCTACCAACAGATCCCGTTTGCCCACACAGACATTCTGAATGTTGGAAAACTGGATATTATTAAAAATGAAAGGGAACACATGACATATTAGGCATTAGTGAGATGCAATGGACTGGCTATGGTCACTTTGAATCAGATAATCATTTGATATACTATGCAGGTAATGAAAAGCTGAAGAATGGTGTTGCATTCATAGTAAAAAAGTCAATTTCAAGTTCTATTCTGAAATACAATGCTGTGAGTGATAGGATAATATCCATAAGCATACAGGGAAGACCTGTTAACACAACTATTATTCAAGTATATGCTCCTACATCTAGTACCAAAGAGGAAGAAATTGAGAATTTTTACCAAATTTTGCAGTCTGAAATTGACTGAACATGCAATCAGGATGTGTTAATAATAACGAGTGACTGGAATGTAAAATTAGAAAACAATGAAGAAACAGTAGTTGGAAAATATGGGCTTGGTGATGAGGCTGGAAATAGAATTATTGAATTTTGTATTTACAATGATTTATTAATTGCATATATTTTTTTCTAAAAGAAGACTTTACATATGGATATCACACAATGGGCTGCATAGAAATCAGACTGATTACATTTGTGGAAGAAATTTTCGGAGAAGATCAGTATCAGCAGTCAAAACTGGGCCAGGGGCAGACTGTGGGTCAAATCATCAGCTACTCATATGCAAGTTCAAGTTGAGGCCAAATAAAATGAAAATAAGTGCACAGGAACCAAGATGTGAACTTGAATCAGTTCCATCGCAATTTCATCATCCTCTTAAGAAGAGGTTTGAGGCATTGAACACCAAATATAGAAGACCAGATGAGTTGTGAAATGACATCAAAAAAGCAAAAGGTCATTACAAAAACAGAAGAGAAAGAAAAAACCAAAATGGATGTCTGAAGAGACTCTAATGATTGCACTGGAACTTTGGGAAGCCAAATCTAAAGGAAAACTTGTTGAAGTAAAGGAACTGAACAGATGATTTCAAAGGGCAGCTTGGGAGGACAAAGAAAAGTTTTATAATGGAATGTGCAGAGAGCTGGAATTGGAGAATAAAAAAAGGGAAAAGAACTTGCTCCGCATTTCTCAAGCTGAAAGAACTGAAAAAGAAATTTAGGCCTCGTGTTGCAATTTTGAAAGATGCTATGGCCAATGTATAAAAAGAAGATGGAGGGAATACACAGAATCACTGTATCAGAAAGAACTGACTAACATTGAAAAAAAAATTTTCAGGAAGTACCATATGGACAGGAGCCAATGGTAATAAAAGAGGAAATGGAAGTTGCACTGAAGGCATTGGCAAAAAATAAGGCCCCAGGAATCAATGGGATACCAACTGATTTGTTTCAGTTAACATATGCAGTCTTGGATACACTCATCAGTCTATGCCAGGAAATTTGGAGGACAGCTGTCTGGCCAATTGACTGGAAGAGGTCTATATTTATTCCTATTTCCAAGAAGGTTGATCCAACTGAATGTGGAAATTATCAAAATATATCATTGATATCATATGCTAACAAAATACTGCTGAAGATCATTAAAAAATGTCTGGAACAGCAGCACGTAGATAGGGAATTGCTAGATGTTCAAGCGGGATTTAGAAGGGGCTGTGGCACCAGGGATATCATTGCTGATGTCAGATGGATCCTGGCTGAAAGTGAAGAATATCAGAACAATGTCTATTTGTGCTTTATTGACTATGCAAAGGCATTTAACTATGTGGATCATGACAAGTTGTGGCTGACATTGAAAAGAATGGGAATCCCATAGTCCTTGATTGTGCTTGTGAGGAGCCTATATCTGGATCAGGCTGTTGTGCGAACACAGCAGGGGAGCACTGCATGGTTTGTAATTAGAAAGGGAGTGCACTGGGAATGTATTCTGTCTCCATACCTGTTCAGTCTATATGCTGAGCAAATTATCCAAGAAGCTGAACTCAATGAAGAGGAATGTGGCATCAGGATTCGAGGGAGACTCATCAATAACTTGTAATATGCAAATGACACAACCTTGCTTGCTGAAAGTGAGGAGGATTTGAAGTACTTGTTGCAGAAGACGAAGGAATGTTGCCTTCAGAATGGATTGCATCTCAATATCAAGAAAACAAAGATTCTTACCACTGGACCAATAGGCAGTGTCATGATGGATGGACAGGATATTGAAATTGTCAACAGTTTCATCTTGCTGGAATCCACAATTAACACCCTTGGTATGAGCAGTCAGAAAATAAGGAGATAAATTGCAATAGGGAAATCTGCAGTTAGGGACCTTTCCAAATTATTGAGGAATAGTGATGTCAGTTTGAGGACTAAGGTACGTCTGATTCAGGCTATGGTCTTTCTGATTACTAGGTATGCATCCGAGACCTGGACAATGAATAAGGATGACAGAAAAAGAATTGATGCCTTTGAGCTGTGGTGTTGGAGAAGAGCACTGAGCATTGCATGGCAGCCAAGAAAACAAATAGATTTGTCTTGGAGAGGGTGCAGCCAGATGCTCTTTGAAGGTAAGAATGATGAGGCTTTACCTAATATCCTTTGGAAATATTTCAAGGAGGTGCTATTCGTTGGAGAGGGACATGATTTTAGAAAGCGTAGAGGGTCAGTGAAGGAAAGGAAGACCTGCATCCAGGTGGATTAACAAGGTGTTTACTGCAATAGACTCTTGTGTGTCAGGAAGTGTGACAATGGCACAGGACAGGACTGGTTTCAGATCTTTTGTTGATAGGGTCGCTATTAGTCGTACTCAACTTTATGGCACCTAACAACAACAATGTATTCACACAAAGCTTCTCAAAAATTTAGTTCTCTACGAAAAATACTATGATATACATAAGGTGACTAACACAGAGGAGGCCACTGAGAAGTTCCCCAGCTACTTGTAAAGGGACCTGGTTATTGCTGGGGTTACTGTGAGCAGAGCAGAGCCACCCAACAACGCTGGGAGCAGTGAGGCTCACCTGGCGGACGGCCCCCACCATCTCCGCTCGACTGGAGAGGCGGGCAGCCAGGCGGTGCAAGACAGCGATGTCCTCCAGCAGCTTCTGGTAGGTCTCCCGGTGCTCACAGTGGTGCCAAAGGGAAGCTGAAGACTGAGGAAGAGAGGGAGCCTCGCCTGGGGTTTTGTGCAACCAGACTTGGGCTCATGAGCATTGGGCCCCATTCTGGCTGAGAATAGTGACCGTAGCAGGATCCAGACAATAACTTCAGGACTGCTGAAACTCAGTGCTGATACTCTACCTGGCTGGCTTGAAAAGACTTATATCCAGGCCTCTAGTGTGTGTACCTCCCTGGAATCCTGGCCTCCTCCTGAGAAGTTCTCAAGGGTTCAGAGGCCACAGACCTGCTGTAACCTGGCCTCCAGGATATCTGCCTCAGAAACTCCCAGCCCTCTGAGGAAGACACTATGTCCAGCTCAGGGTTGTAGTCTGACTTCTCAGATAGTTGACTGGGAAATGGGAAACATTGGCCTGGTCTTTGGAGATAGTCCCTCCCCAAAGAATCCCCAAATGCAGGCAGGCTCTGTAATTACCGTAATGGAAGCTTTGAAGTTTTCCAGTTCCTTCTCAGTGTTTTCCTCTGTCAGGTTCCGTTCCCTTTCAGCCTGGCTAATTCTAGATTCCAGGGTATAGCTGTCATTTCTAAAGGCCAAGGACAGTTGTACAAACACGTTCTGTTGGAAACAAGAATGTGGGAGAAATGCTAGGAGGAGTTATTGCAGAGAACAAGGCTGCAGGTGTGTTTCTTGCACACGCATCTGGACCAAGTCAGTGAAGCATCCATGTGCAAGTAACATTCTCGCTTCATAGTAAACTGCACAAAATCTAGGAAGCTAGAAACCTGAAGGCCTTGCTAGGTTCAGATTGGTACAAAAAGACCAAACACATTTTACGGAAAAATACTAAGGGAATGACACTTTGCTTTTTCCTCAACTTTAAGAAAATAACATCCTGTATTTGGGTTTAGACAAACTCAGGCTAGGGCAGCTGGTTGTGTAAGCAGTTTGGATTTATGTTGGGATTTATTGCACGGGGGTTTGGGAAGTCTTGCATGAAGTCACTGTTTTTAAACTCTGGTTGCGATTTAAGCTGTGTTGATGTAAAGTGAACTTCAGTCAGGATCTAGTCTGAGTATCCCACATCCTACATCAATAGCAGCTATAAGTAGCTGCCAGGAGATGAAATAGGAGCGCTGATGGCTTGGCATCAAGCTGTTTGAGATGTGCTAAAAACTCAAAGGTTCACAGTTTTAATTCACCAGCTATTACATGGGAGAAAAATAGGCAAACAACTCCTGTGTGATTTATATCTATGAAAACCCACTGGAGGGTCAGCTATGAGTTGATTCTCCCTTAAGGGCACCCAACAATAACAACATAAAAAACCAGAAAATGAAATAGCAGGTATGATTCTATCAAGATAAGCATTCAGGAGTAAATATTCTATGTCAAATATTCAACCTGCATGAATGAACTTCTGAAGAGGTATTATTGACCAGACATGGAATTCCTAGAAAAGGAAACTAGTGAGGGGGAAAAATTGACAGATGGCCTCCACAGAGGAAAGCAGCAATGACCTTTTCATTTTTACAGTCTTCACCTCCCAGCCTGAGTCAAGTGAGAGCAGATTTACAACCTGTGGGATGAACCAACTCTGCCTAAGCTTCTGAAACTCATGTAACATGACACACAACAAGTGGACATCTCTAGAGAGAGAACTGAAGGCACTGAGCTGAACCAATGATGATTACCATTATATTGACGATTACCATTATAATGGCTGGCTTCTTACTACACATCTGCCATATGCCAGTGTGGCTATAAGCTCTATGCTCCTGAGCTCATTTATCCCTCTATCTCATTTATCTAACAGACATACTGCAAGTAGATGCTTTTACCAAACAGAAACTCCCTTTCTCACAGGTTAGGAGCCTAGGTCTGAATCCAGAGCACTGGCTCTAGAGAGAGGCTTTGTCCCTCTACTAGCTCTGGAGGTCCTTGTCTCAGAATTACTCCTGGGCAAAATCTTATCTCTCTTCTACCATCTCTATTTCTTTCATTTGTTTGATCTCTTTTATATCTCAAGAAAGGTCTATCGTAAACACACCCTACACTAATCCTGTATGTTAACATAACAAGAACCAGTCCATTCCCAGATAGAATTAAAACCATAAGCATAAACTTATTCCACTATCATTAATTTGATTCCAACACATGGCAATCCTTCTTCATGTTTTTGAGGCTGTAAATTATAACAGGAGTACACTGCTGCATCTCTTTCACAGAATGCCTGTTAAATTCCAAATGCTGACCACAGGCCTAGAGGGTAAGTCTTACTATAGATTTTTTATTTATATATCTAGATCCATATATCTATATATCTCCCAAGTGTTTTATACATCCATTTTATGGGTAAAAATATCAAGACAAGTATATCACGAGTTTATTCAAGGTGGCCCAATAAGTATAAGAGTAGCAAAGCCAAAGCTATGATTCAGTCTGAGATTGTCTGATTCCAAAGCTTATCCTATTTTCACCATGCTAAGAACTGATTGTACCCTATATATCTGAGGACAAGACTGGGCCATTAAACAAACTACCCACAGCTACCTACACAGGTATCAAGAGGTGGGGTAGCACTAAGCTCACAGGTCCTTGATTAGATTTCTCTAACCTTCTCAGGCCTCATTCAAGTCCATCAATAATAATCAATGCTTCGTCCTTCATACTTAGGTTATCTCCTTTATGGTAATGGAACATAAAAAGTCAAAATCAATTGGAAGTCTTAGGTCTAAATCTTCGTCAGCCAAGTACTGGATCTGGACACCTTAGGTAAGTTACTTAATCCCTCAATTTTCTCCTTTGTACTAATTCCCATTCTACCTGCCTCTTACATTTGATGGGTCAACTGAAAAGATGATGAAAATATATAACAAATTATATTAAATAACATGTCAGTCACAAAAGAACAATTTCTGGTGTTAATATCATGATTATAAAAAAACCAAGAAAAGGTCTACACTCAATCTTGGAAGTTTAATAGGATGGCCTGGAGGATGAGGGGACTACAAATTGAATAAGTTAAGGGAAAAGCAATACAAAATAAGGGATTGGTTAAACCTTGTAATGAATCAATTACACTAATTAAAGGTGACTGAAGAGCCCTGCCAGTGTAGCTGGTGGAAAACTGGGCAGCTAACTCCCAGGTGACTAGTGGTTAGCGTGCACAGTGGCTTTGCAGGAGAAAGGTGGGTAATATCCTGCTGTGCGATTTACAGTCTTGGAAAACCTGCTAGAGAGTCAGCTATGAGTCAGTTCACAATAATGGTAACTCATGTCATGAAAGAATTGTGCAGTAATTAAGGTTATGAAAGAAAATGTCTATGAATGAGTGTGAAAAACCAAAACCAAACCAATCATTTGGGGCAGGGAGAAAAATGTGCAACAATGAACAATTGGAAACCCAAGTTCTTTATAAACTATCATTAATATCTCAATTAAAAAAGAGAGAAAAAGAACATGCTACAAAATTTAACTGTAAAGTCCACATTTCAAGCTTCTTGTCATTATCTGTGGTAGGTATCTCCTTTCAGCTGTCCTTCTATGCTATAGGTGCTGTAGGACTCAGGAAAGAAAGACAGTTTCATTTTCTCACTATCAATGGAAAACTATCCTATAAAACCTGCGTTCTTCCAACACAGATGAAACAGTCTGGAATCATCTACATTCTTGTTTCCTTCCTAATATCAACCCCAATATACATGTCTTGGACATCAACTAGTGCGGGCAGCCGCTGTCTTTATTATCTTATCTCTGATACATTTTCCTTCTCCATATTCTACACGTATTAGAAAGAAACAGCAGATTCCTCTTGGTTCACTCATCAGTCTTTCTGGGACAGCATTTCTACACTGGGGCCAGGCAGTCCCGAGGAGACTAACAGCAGAATTAGGGTACGTGGAAGACCTGGAAACACTGTCTCCTGCCTCCGATGAAATAGGCTTCCTTAGTTTGAAACCACTGGAAAGAAAGGGGCTTCTTCCTGTAGGCCAAAGCTTGAAACCTGAAATTTGACCATCTTTTAGTAATTTTGAAGTAAATATAATTCAATTCTGTAGCCTCCCTACTGACTTTGTGCATGTAAGTTATATGCTGTTAAAGAACACAAACAATCCTTGAAGGAGTGTGACATTTCCAACTAACTATTCTCTAACTAACTTTGTCAAAATCTTCATTCAGTGAACTTCTTTGAGGTTAGGGACAAAGATTCTATGGGGCTTGTTAAGGACATCCATGCTACCCCACAGCCATTCACTCCCATTCTGTCCAGGATCAGAGGAAGATATGCTTTGGCTTAGTGCTAAGGAGGTGTGCTGCCAACCCAAAGGCACATGGTTCAAATCTACCAGCTGCTCCACATGAAAAAGATGGACAATCTCCTCCTATGCAATTTACTGCCTCTAAAAACTCGCTGGAGGGTCAGCTATGAGTTGGTTCCAATTTATGGTAAACAACAACAGTCAAACACAAGGATCCCTGGTGGTGAAATGGTTAAATGCTTAACTGCTAGTGGAAAGGTCAGAATTTACCAGCTGTCTGCTTCTGTAAAGATTTACAGCCTTGTAAACTCTGTTCTATAGGGTCCCGATGCGCCAGAATTGATGGTAATGGGTTTGGTTTTGATTTTTGGTTTTGTCAAGCAAATACACTAAAAATCATAAAGCTCTTAAGTCACTTACCTCAACTTCCTTTTCAGTGAGTGGAGGGGCACTGTGAAAAAGAGAAGCACACAGATAAACTTTACTGAGTCTATATACCAGACCAAAAGAGACTTCGAATGACCAGCAGATCATTTCTTTTGGGGGATAGGGTCAGCTGAGTTGCTGAGACAGACAAGTATGCAGATTATCTTTTATATGTGCTTTGAACCCATGAAACATATGTCCCAATACTACCTTTTGCAGAGGTAATGTGGTAGAAAGTATACATCCTAGGATGAGAGCTCCAGATGGTTCACTCCTACCTCTGTGATTTGGGCAAGTTACTGTATTATCATTAAGTCTCTGTTTGCTTATACTTAATGAGATGGTGATAGCTACTGTGAGGGTCTTAAAAAAACTTACATATAAGTCATATATTTGTTATAACTATCTAAATGTGTGTATTTATGTGTGTGTGATCTTAATGTCCACTCTCAATGGGCACTCCAGAAACATTAACTATTAACTCAAATGGTTCTGAGAACAAAGATATAGTAAGTAATGAACTGTAAGGTACTGTTAAACATCTGAGTCGCCATTACAATTTTTCTGGAACTACTTTGATCTGCAGAGATGTATCCATTGTCTTTATCTCTCAGTGTTGGAGAGAGGGGGCCTTTAGGTCAGAGGATAAAAGGTAGGTGGATGGTCACAGATCTTCTCAACACTATGAAGCCCCTTCTGACTGCAGGATCCAGAGGTGAGCAGGAGAGAACAAGTGAGCACAGGGAATCCTTGAATATGGCCCTTACAGTCTTCCCAGCAGCAAGCAGGATGGGTGTCCTGGATGACCATGTCCCCTTTGCGCAGGCTGCTGCTGCTGCTCCACTCTTGCTGGTTACTAATGCTGACCCTGCTCTGAAGCCCTGACAACATAAATAATGCACAGCTCTTTCCTGTGCTGGAATGCGAAGAGCTGGGAGGGGTTCTACCAGCGTCACAAGACTTGGCAATAGAGCATGTCATCGATAAGATGCTCAGGAAACACAGCTTCCTTCCTCTGACAGGTGCAGAGGGACCCCAAAAGCAAAGGTAGGGGTCAGTCAGCTCTGCAAGGGGCTGATTCTCACCCCTGTGAGTGCCTTCCTGTCAGGAAGAGGACCACAGGACCCTACGGCCAACAAGTCAGCAGAGTACAGAACATGGGATAAACAAGTACAAACATATTTGATAACTACAATTCTTGCCACAGCTCCACCCATCAGGCCCTTTACTTTGTAGGATAGTACATCTTTACTGCTGTATAGCATACTGTTTAAATCAGAACTGCATAAGTTTGCCTCTGGTAAACTTATGATTCCTGGGTTCATATGAATATTATATGTGATATATTTGCAGCAATAATTTAACTGTTAGTTAAATTGCTTAACTCTTTTTAATTGTTGATGCTTCACATTTTGCTATAAAATATGAAGGGCTTTAAAAAAAATGTGGCAGTCCCAAGGACTCAGGGAGATAAGATATAAATAAGGGAGCCACATGACATGGCTAGCTATTGATGCAGAGACTTAGATACTGACACTAGCGGCTGGGAGAGGAATTAGGTGACAGAGCCAGGAGTTTCCAGAGGACAGAGGCCTAGAAGGTCATGGACAAAGAAATCAGTCTGGATGGTTTTCCCTGCCTCAAGAGTTCAAACTTCTTTAATGGGCTTTAGGGAGCTCTTCTGAGTAGTCTGTAAGGAGTCGTGCTGCTAACCCAAAGGTCATGACTCTCTTGCAATTCAAGTACACCAATGGCTCCATGGGAGAAAAATGGGCCATCTCCTCCCGTGCAAGTTACAGCCTCTGAAACCCGCCAGAGCATCAGCTGGGAGTCAGTTCTGACTCAAAGGCAATGAGAGTGAGAATAAAAGGCACCTGGATAAAAGCATCCTCCATGAACTGGTCCCTGTCTCACAAACTCCTTCAAACATACTAAAAAAAGACAGAACTAAAGAAAAAGAGACTCACTGGAGAAGTTCCCTAATCATACTAATTATCTTTAACCATAACCATACTGAGCAAAAGAGCAGTAGTGATGCTGTAGCTGAGTCATTCAGCTGATAACTTAAAGGTTGGCGGTTCAAACCCACCATTGTTTATGAAGGAGAGCAATGTGACAGCTTGTCTCTGTAAAGATTTACAGACTTGAAAACGCTGTGGGGTAGTTCTATTCTGTCCTACAGGGTAACTGTGAGTCAGAATCTGTGGACAACAGTGTGCTTGGTGGGCTTACTAAGCAAAAAGCAGGCAAGTCTTGTTCCTTGTAGACTGAAAGTTTGATCATTTGTTCTTTTTCACCAGCCTCCGGCATAGTCAGAAAGTGATTAGGTCTGGACTCAGCTCAATCTGAGTTCAATTCCTGAAACTCTCATTTGTCAACAAGTTGCTTCACCTCTCTGTTCCCTCATTAAAATAAAAATAAAACATAAAAAAACTTCCTTTTTTTTTGTTTGTCTGACTAGGTTGTCACAAACACAAAAAAAACCACACACCAAGTATGTCTGCTGTATAGCCTGCAGTGCTCTTGGTTTCCTGCCTCTGGACGCACCTTTTGGCCTTCTTAGATAGTGACCATTTTAGATTATTATAGTCTGGAATTTGTACATATAAAACCCACTAGACAAACTTTATTTCCCTTTCATATTTACTCTCAAAAGCTAGTATCTCTGTTGTGCCTAATTTATCCTACTCACACTGTTTTCCCACTAACAGGTCAATCTCAAAGTTGTAGCACTTGGCCGTAGGCCCCACCTGCAGGCTCCCAGCCAACCCTTCATGCAAAGTAGTTTCATTTCTTCTCTCTTTATACCCTATAAGAGGCCTGTTAGTGTTACCTGTAAGGGGCCTGTTAATGTAATCACTGACTTGACCTCTTGCACCCATATACCTCATTTGATCAGTTCAGGATCCTACTAATAACTGGGGGATTATGACCTGTATTGTACACACGAGGACATGTAGACTCAAAAGCAAGCTCACTTCTCATGTGTGGACAAGGCCTGCAGGGATTCTAAGCAATCCTTCTTCACGTAGTCCAAATGTTCTGCATTTCAATCTGTGTAGTTACTTGGTATAGAATTGCTCAGATATAGAAAAAGGATACATTTGACTTGAAATATCTACCTCATTTGTAAACTTACACTAAAAACTCAATAAAATGGAAAAAAAAAACCCAACCCCTTCTGTTTCTTGGCCCAAAGTCCAATACCCCCAGCTGTTGCCAGAGCCTCTGATGACTCTTATGTCATCTCTGGCTTTGCTTACCTATGAATTCCACCTGGTATTTGAGCTGGAACCACCCCATCTGGCCTTTCATTGTTATTTTTGTTTTGAATAAAGGAGCCCCATCTGGAACACTGGACTTTGGCCCTTCTGTGATCAGTGACCATGGTTGATGCTGTTCAGTGTCTCACCTTGAATCTAACACAGGGACCTCCCAACGCAGGCTTAACTACAGCCCTCACTGTGACTTTACCTGCCAGGGAGAGACTTGTGGACTCTCAGTTTGCGCAGCAGCACATCAGAAATATTGGGCATGACATCCAAGCCAGTCCTTGAGTCTTCCTCCTCAACAGCAGGAGAGCCTTCAGAAGGGATCCCTGGGGAAAAAGGTACTTTCTTAGAGTATGTCTATCTGAGATCACAGTTAGGGGCAGGGGCAAGGAAGAACTCTAATATCCACAAACACCTATTCATGTGCCAAGGACTTTGTAATTGGTACCTCACTTTATTCTTAAAATGACCCAGTGAGCTAGAACTTAATCATCACATTTTATAAACAGATTAACCACGATTCGGTTAGATCCACTAACTTGTCCAGTCACAGAAATAGTATGTAGCATAGTCAGGCTTCAAATCAAGGTCTACCAGATCCCAAAGTCTATTTTCTTTCCATTGCTCCCCACTGTATTAAGCAAGCTCTTTCTTGTGCACGGGGTCAGATGCTGATTTCAGACAACTGGAAACTGGCTGGCTGAGCACTTTGCTATACACTATTTGAGAACATTCCCACTTCTTTGGCAGGCTTCTCAGGAGTTCTATTGTCTTTCTAAAATGTCTCCTCTTCTGTGTACTACCTAACAATCTGCATCTGATTCCACACCTTCATAGATAAGGTTATTTTCTAGGGTGAAACTAAGGCCATGGGATCTCTTAACAGATCTCAGAAACACAGCTGTCTTCTAATTAAGACAGTCAATAAGCATCCTTTTGGTACCTCCTAAAACTATGCGAGGGAGCTCTGGTGGTCTAGTGAGTAAGGAGTTGCACTGCCAACCCAAAGGCAAGAGATTTGAACCCACTAGCTGCTTCAAAGGAGAAAGATTAACAATCTTTCCTTCTGGGCAATTTATAGTCTCGGAAAATCTGCCAAAGGATCAGTAAGAAAATCAGTTTCAACTCAATGGTATTGAGTTTAGTAGAAAACTAAGTCTATGCTTTTAAAGGCAGCAAGAACAAACCAAACATCTCTTTCTCTAACATCTCTGTCCTGTTTGAAGGCAGCTCTTTTGCTTCTCCAAGTTTTCTTCTCGGGCTCTAGCCCAATTTTTATAGCTGCTTGTTGTGTGGTCCATTATGGAGTATGGCCTCCAGACACCACCCTCTGCCTTCACACATTCTTGTTTCTTACTGTCCAGATGTGCTTTAATGAGTTTTCTAATGCACAAAGATATTGACAGATGACCACTGCATTGGTATTAGGCAGGTATTTGTAACAAATAACAGCTTCTGTGACTTATTAGCTCTCACAGTACATTTGTTGTTATGTGCTGTCAAATTGCCTGGGACTCATAGAGACCCTATGTACAACAGCCCTAAACCCTGATCTATCCTATGCCAATCTCATTGTTTCTGACACATCCATCCCATTATCTCGGTCACTGAATCAATCCATCTCATGGGTCTTCCTCTCCTGCGCTGCCCCTCCTTACAACATGTCCAGAGTATGTCAGACAGTACATTTAGAGTTAAATTAAATCCTCTTTTTTTAAGGAAGACCCTAACCAGATGGATTGACACTGTGACTGCAGCAATGGGCTCACCTACGTCAGAGATGGTGAGGATGGCCCAGGAACAGGCAGGATTTGGATCTGTTGTTCAAAAGATCGCTATGAGTCACACTCCACCAAAGCTGGTGGTTCAAATATACCAGCTGCTTTGCAGGCGAAAGATGAGCAATCTCCTATTGTGCAATAAACTGCCTCTGAAAAACTGTTGGAGGGTCAGCTATGGGTCAGGTCTGATTAGGCAGTACAACAGCATCTTAAATGGTGGTTACTTGGATTTGTATGCAGAGCTTTATATTTTCCTATGTCTCTAGTGAGTTTTGGCCAGCAGCTTTCCAATATGCTCAGTCATTCTCCAGGATTTTCAGCTAGGCTGTAGACCATGACTATAGGCACAACTGTGGTGGTCGTCTAAAGATAATTACGATTGTGTCGTCGTTGCTTGTAGCTGAGTCAGAATCCACGCCTAACTGACTCTCGAGTGGCTTTTCAGAGGCTCTAAATCACATGGGTTGGAGAGAGGATGAAAGGCACCCAAGCGCCAAGGACTCTCCTTCATAGGGTCGCTATGAGTCTCCTGTGACTCGACGACACTTAACAACAACAACAACAACAATAACAACAACAAATTACATGGGGGTAGACCATCCATCTCTCTCCCTCAGGGCCACTGGTGGTTTTTAAACTGCCTGCTTTGGGGTAAACAGCCAGATTCTTTACTACTGAACCACCAGAGTTCCCTTGAGATTGTGAGCCATGTAAATATAAGTCTCAAAGGAAGACCATGCAGAGAGAAGAGAACAAACAGTCTGGCTTAAGGTAAAGAATGTTGAAATACTTTGAACTTCCAAAACTTCTGAATAGGAGAATGGTGTTCCTAAGTTTCTGTTACTCCTTTTTCACAGCAAAGGGTGAAGGCCCCATCTGTCAGAGCCATGGCAGCTGGAGACCCTTCTTTGAACATAAGGGATCACAAGCTATGCTTTTAGGTACTTTTAACTCTTGGGTTCTGTCTCCTAGACTTGATGTTTCTGTGTGACAGATGGTAAACTGTGCGGAAATTCTGGCCTCGCTTTTTTTGTACCCTCATTGCCTACCCAGAAGCCAATTAAGCCATCAGGTCCTAAGAAATGTCGGCAGACTGAATGATGGTCTGAACCACAAAGGGTCCAATATTCAAGCTAAAACCATCCAGGGGTTTTTACCTAGAAAAATCCCTTTGGTTGAACAACAACAAAAAAATTTAGGCTTCACAATTGTTAAAATATCCAAGGAATGATCCCAGAACTAGCAGCTATCTGAACCCTCCTGAACTTAATAAAAGTTACACAATAGCAACAATTTTTTTTAAAAAAAAAAACAACCAAAATGTTAACTCTAAATAACTAATTCATCACCCTCAAGTCTGAAATCACAGCTGACCCTCCAGTGGGTTTTCAGAAGCTGTAAATTGTATAGGAAGAGATTGTCTATTTTTTTCCTAGTGGTTTTGAACCGAATGCCTTTGGGTTGGCAATGCAACTCTTTACCCACTAAGCCACCTTACCCACTAGTCCACCCTCTCAAATACAGGAGAAGTAAGTAAGCTTTTAAAATGGTGGACAGAAAAAGACAGAAATTGCTAGAAGTAAATATAGAGAATTCACTTTTGATAACCTCTCCCCTCTCCCTTAAAGATTTAGGTTTTCTGTAAGGCTCATCATTCTACCATAACAATTCAAAGAGGAAAATACAAGGGATGAGGGGCACAAAACCAAATGCAGCTGTGCTACTATTTTGCTTTCTTTCCTGAGGACACAAAAGATAGAAAACTTGGAGTGTTCTCGCTGAGCTCTTAAAACAGTGGAGGAATTTACTAGAAAGTAAGACTGAAGAGAAAAATATATAAAACAAGCCGCTTTGATGGAGTAAGTGACAGGAGACATAGAAAGTCCCAGCTTAAGGTCCCTGACTCTGAAAAACAGCACAGGCCAAATTCCTTGGATTATCACTGCCCCTTTCCCTGATCTTTTCCTTCCCTTAGTAGGCATAGGAATGAAAGTAGCTGCTTGGAAAAAAAGTCATAATCATGGGTGACCTTGGGTAAACAATAGCTGGGAAAGTTTACCCTGAATTAGCAGAAACCCACAACTCCCCACTGAAGAAAATAAGCTATGCCTCCAATTTGTTATAACAAACCCAAGTTTCAGACAGCGAACAAAGATAAATAGAGCAGAAACCAACCCCACAAATGCAACTGCCCACAGCTCTAGCACAACTTCCCCTTTCCTGATCACTAGTGCCTGCTGTAATCTTCAGAACAAAGCACACACAAAACACACACCCAATCCTCCATTAAATCACTGGGGGCAGGAGAAACCTCAGACAGTGGTAGGAAGGACTCAGAGCAAAGCTGCTTATACAATCTATCTGGTTAAAGAGAAGATCCAGGTGGAAAATGTTCAGATCAAAAAGAAAGAAAATGAGAACAATGGCATGCCAGCCATGTAAAAACACCAGAGCTAAATGGGGAAGGAAGGAAGGAGCAAAGATATAAAGGAAGGAAGGACGGAAGGAAGGACACAGTCAGAAGGCAGATGTCAGGATGGAAACAAAGATGCAAGAAACATATATACACACACACACAAACACACACACACACACATATACATATGACAAATGTTTCTGCTCTAAGAGGAACTAGAACTGAAAAAAAATGAAAGGAAGAAACTGTTGCTGAGATGAGTTGATCTGATAAAGACAGTTGAGGACTATAATTTAGGCAAAAAAGTGAAAGCCAAATTAACAACTAACCAAGAAATTAGATGGAAAAAGAACTGGCACATTGGAAATATGTACAAATAAAACATATAGTCTCAAACAGTAAGGGAGAGGGAGTTGAAGTGATCACAGGAATGCAAAAAAGGAAAGAAGTATCAAAGTACTTAGAAACAGAACAAGAGATCTGTAGTTCTGAGACTGATGTGCAACCTATTGTTTATGCTGTCACTTAAATAGAGAATCAAATAAATGGAACAAAAAACATACCCAAAGACAGAAGGGAAAAAAATTCCTTAATTGAGGCAATAGTTAAGTATACAGATTTTCTTCTGTGAAGAAAAAAAATAAATCAATGAGATGATTCTTCAGCTATCTTCAGAAAAAGTGAGTCACTTACAAGGAAGGTAGAGGTTGAAGGACACTGAAAGTCAGCATGCTTCAGATTTTTCTAGAGCACAAGTGCAGTGAAACAACTTCTACAAAGGTCTGAAGGAAAGGTGGCCCATAAATGTTATAACATGCTAGAACTCAAGGAGCATAGCCTTTCTGAGCCCTTTAAGGAAAACTATTGTGAGAATTCTATTTTGGGAAGTCTGGAGAAACAAGACACACATCAAAATAATAAACCAAGAGTGGAGCTCCACAGTGAAGAGGTTAGTGTGACTATCAAACTCTTTTACACATAAGTCCAAGACCAAAAACTGTGTAAATTGTTATTACAGAATAGAATATAAAGTTATAATCCTAATATTATAAAAAAAGACCAATTTAACATCTATATAGGCAGAAGTGGGAAGAAATGCAGGTACTATCAACATATGAAACATGCAAAG